GGGATGGGTTAGCCTGGTGATGGGTATTATAGAGGGCACGTTCTGCATGGAGCACTGGGTGTTATATGCAAACAATGAATCATGGAACAGTACATCAAAAACTAATGACATAATGTATGGTGATTAACATAACATAATAAAAATTTTTTAAAAATAAACAAAAAAATAAAAAAATAAAAAGAGGGTAGTACTGTGACCGCACTTCCTGAGGACAGCACCTTGTTTGGTGAGGGCTTCTCGGAGAGCAGGGGTTATCATAGCTCTTCTTTCACTGGCTTCATTCTTCACGGTGTTCCTGACCAGACTACTTTTCTCCTCCTGTTGCTCCTTTTCTCTCTGTATGACAATTAAAAGAACAAAAGTCAGACCTGGCAATGTGCGCTGAGAGTAACAGCACACCACTCACGAACACAGAGCGTGGATGACAGGGCTCATCGCGAACCCTGGCCCATAACCCAGGCTCCTCCAAAGTGATTATGTTCCCAGTCAGACAATGATCGAAGAACTGCCAGTCTCATTTTTCTTTTTTCTTTCCAAAAAAGTAACTACATACTCAAACACATACACCCACAAAATGTAAATCAACAATCCACTTATCTGGATGTCAATTATTTTTAGCAATCCGAGTACAGACAGCTGCCGAAATTCATCAAGTTATTTCTCTGAATTTCAATCTCCTCACCTGAAAAAGGAAGAAAGTAGCATCTGGGGAGCAGGGATGTGTTAAGATTAAAAGAAATAAATCACCAGGCACTATGCCTGATATATAACAGAGTTCAATAAAATGTAAGACTACTGGTAATTATATCTGCAAACCCCCAAAACAAATCAAAATAGTGCTCTGAGCTGCTCAGCCATTTGCTCGGAGACCAAATTACTCCTCCACCTGCCGCCCTGATGGCTCCTTCTAGAAGATCCTGTGGGGAAAATGTGTCTTCAGTGAAAAAAAGAAATCTGAAGGATAATATAAGACTGATTGTGTTTCCTTTTGACTCTGGCCCCTAGAAAATTCAGCAGCACACTGATGACTGTGTAAAGCCTCATATCATGCTTGTCTTGGATTCCCTGTAAGTGACTTCATATTGCATGATGAACTTCACCCTTTACACTCATTTCTTCCTCTTTTTAAATCTTACCACATATATATTTTTTTAAGTTACCTCAATGTCTTTTTGCAAGGTGATAGAATGCTAATCAATTAATTCCAAGGCAACACACAATGTCTGTGTTACACTTTAGAGGAAACACTCGCCAGATCTGACTAAGAGCTGCAGAAATTCAACATAATTCACCTTGGCAGCAGCCCCACCACCAAGCCCATTTTCAGTGCCCAGTCCCTAGTGAATCAGTAAGCAAACTTACAGTAATATCCTTTCTACCTAAAAGTGAAAACATCTCACAGATCACAGGATGACTGAAATCTGCAGCCAACTAATACAGAAGGGAGGATGGTCTGTGTTTGAAGCTGGACAGCAGGTGACAGGGATTCACTGTATCATTCGGTCTACTTTTGTGAACATTCAAAGTTCTCTATACAAAAAATGTAAAACAGATTATAAATTTTTTAGAAAGAAACAGAAAGATAAGCCAAAGAAACTTGGAGGTAACTTCTCTACCTTCTCTGTTTCTTCAACGACTTGCTCCAAAATTGGAAGTCAGTGAAAAAGTATTTTAGAGACTCAAAGGTATTAAATGAGAAACAATAAACCCACAGTTAGTTGTATCTGTCTTAAAGTCAGCATTCCTAATTACTAAATATAATCCAAATGCAAAGCTAATGAACAATTTTGCTTCTGTTAATAGTTCTCAACTACACATTTTCAGATAGAGGTGAAAAAATTTATAAACAAACATCAGTGATGTGTTCTCATCCATTATAAAAGTAATCAGTTTAATGCTGGGTATTTTATTTAAAAAATTTAAAAGTTTCAGTTACTCTTTTAAAATATTTAAAAACAGGGGCACCTGGGTGGCTCACTCATTAGGCGTCTGCCTTCAGCTCAGGTCATGATCCCAGGGTCCTGGGATTGAGCCTCACATCGGGCTCCCTGCTCAGCGGGAAGCCTGCTTCTCCCTCTCCCACTCCCCCTGCTTGTGTTCCCTTTCTC